AAAAAGTAACTGTAATCCAGATTACATGTAATCAGTTACTACCCAGCACTGTTTATACAATACAGACTGTTTCAAAGCAGCTTCACGGTCATGAACAGGAAAAGAAAAGTATTAATGATACAAAACAATACACTTTGTAGTTTGTCTACATGTTGCAATAAATGCATTTCTTAATAGTGCAAAACCTTTTTCCCCAACCATCATCATCATCATCGTCAATCAGAAACATTTTATTAGACAACATACTTGTATTCAGTAAGATCAGTTTAGGACTTGCTTTGTAAGATTTACCAGAAAATGTTTTAGAAATTGTTATCAGATGTAAATGTAAAACTTCTTGCATAATCTTAATTGCTGTATTTGTATTTTTTATTTTATTGTATTGTATTTATGCAACTCTATTATGCAACTGTCACTATTTCTTGTAACGCAGTTCTTGCCATGCGCCTCAGTTGCTTATATTATAACCTACACTACTCCTACTTGTCAATCAGTTCACATATTTCTCTAAATTACCAGCATTCTGAAGTCACATGACCTTTAACATCTATTATGACCAGAATTGTGAGGAGGAACGATTGACTGATTTTTGAAAATTCATCTCCAGACGTTGTAATCTGGACACTGTCACTGAGTTGCACTGATGTTTTGATCTGGTGTTTTCTCAGGTTCGTCTCTGACCATCGGTCTGTCTGTGGCTGCCGTTCTGATCATCATTGGACTCGTATCATTCACAGTGATTTACTGCATGAGGCGTAAGACTCAAGATCAACCTCTTTCCTTGTTTGTGTTGATCTAGTTCGATAGCTTTCTTTACATGTCATTTGTTACCATTTTACAGTTTTGTCATATTAATTTATCTATCAGAATGGTGCAAGTAAATTGCATGGTTGTCTGAGAAATAATGAGTAAATGAAAAGATGTTATTTCCCCCCTGCTGGTCAAAACAAGACAATGCACAGTTGATCTTTATTTTACAATCTATGTATACTTACAGTGTACTTAGCCAAGAACATACTCAGTAATATGCAGTAACTGCATGGGTTAAGGCTAGATTCAGGGTTAGTGCCAAGTTACTATTACCCAGTTATTGTAATTACTACAATAAGTACATAGTATGTACATGAGGAATATTACTGTAAAATAAAGTGCTCACAAATGCACTGTGAAGTGATGTGCGGTGTAATTACAAAATAATTATTTATGTGTTTGCTTTAAAGTCTATTGGTGAAGTGAAAATGTTATATTTAATATATTTATTCCATGTGGTATTTTGTCTTGAAACCCAAACAGTGAAGTCTTTAGTTCAGTTTTTGTAAATGTATGTGAAATAAAATGCCATCTGATGAATAGAAAGTGGATGGAAAGTTTCTCCCAAACGAAGTAAAACAAATAAAATTAAAAAATAAATTTTAAACATCTAAAATGTTGAGCATGAATGTGAAAGATTATTCTATTTAATGTAGTATAATATTTGTTTTACAGGCCCTAATTCAGCCTCTAAAATGCCCAAACCCGGAAAAGGAAACAGTGAAGCGGTTTGTAAAATCAGCGTGTTTGATAATAATGTGTATGTATGAATGTGACCATGATCCTGCTGTGATGTCTGGGAACCTCGAGAGCTGTGAATAATTTCTCATTCTCTTCAAAGGTTCCTCAAACCGGCTTCATTTATGAGGAAATTGCAGACACCAGACCTCACACTGATCCAGATACAGGAACTAAAACGGTCTATGCTACGGCCCAATTACCCACAACCCCCTCTGATTCTACTAAAACAGTCTATGCTACTCCAGGATTACCCACAAACCCCTCTGATTCTACAAAAACAGTCTATGCTACTCCAGGATTACCCACAACCCCCTCTGATTCTACTAAAACAGTCTATGCTACTTCACAATTACCCACAAACCCCTCTGATTAGTTGCTCCATCATCATTATCATCTACTGAGGGTCTGAAAGACACAGACGGTCCTGATGATGTTCCTTCAACAATTATCTGTCTTCACATTAATGTCTATCATTGCATGCAGTTATGAGCCAGTGATTACAGTGAATACATGTTAGCGATCTGCTGTTTTTAGTTTATTTGCTCAGTAAACACCACCATTGCACCTGCTGAAGGGATTTATGTAGTGTTTTCTCATTTTGCTTAAAATTATATGGGCAATAATGTGTGTTTTGTTGTATACAACTGTGAACGAAATAAAAGATGATTGTTCTTTATAACAATACCGTGTTATTATTTTGACATCAAATCACATCAGTAACTAATGTTCTTGTTCTTACAAAGTCAGCAGCAGCTCAGGTCTGTCCATATAAACTGCATTATGATTTGATTTATGTTTCAGTTACACAGCTCCTGAAGGTCAGTTATTCTGCATTATGTTTTATGAGGTGTAATGCCATCTTCTGGACTGACTGAGACTGTGTGTGTGTGTGTGTGTTCCTGGTATTTATCACATTATGGGGACCAAATGTCCCCACAAGGATAGTAATACTAGTAAATTTTGACCTTGTGGGGACATTTTTGAAAAACATGGTGTGCATTTGTGAACAAAATAAAAGATTATAAAAGAAGTATAAATAAAATCATTATTATTTTAGCATCAAACCACATCAGTAACTCATTTTCTTACAAAGTCAGCAGCAGCTCAGGCCTGTCCATATAAACTGCATTATGATTTGATTTATGTTTCAGTTACACAGCTCCTGAAGGTCAGTAATTCTGCATTATGTTTTATGAGGTGTAATGCCATCTTCTGGACTGACTGAGACTGTGTGTGTGTGTGTGTGTGTGTGTGTGTGTTGCTGTCCGTGGTGCTGAACACCATCTGGACACTAGAGGGAGCCGCTGGACTCTCATTCCTCAACACTTTCATTTCTCCTTTATTTGTTTCACTTTCGTTTCAATCTGATTTTATTTTCACTTCCCACTTTATTATTCTCTCTCCCTCTCTATCTGTGGCAGATATATAGAGGAAG